GCATTATTGCATGTGATTTATACACTAACCCCAGATGTTACTACACCAACACATTTTTTATAAAGATTTTACAAATAGTGAAGCTATTCTATGCCATGAAGCTACCATAGGTTATCACTAATTTTAAATGCAATTCAATATATCAACATGTACGTTCTTTAATTAATCTCAATTTATTCATAATTACCTAAAAAAACCTACAAATTAGCCAATAGAAATCACACTTCTGGTCTCACTAACTAGCAACACCACATTACCAAAAAGTGTGCAATCATACTTAGCTCCATTATAGCTCACAACAACATTATTTATGTTGTCACAAAAAAAAAATATAGAATTAAACTAATTAAAGCAAGAGCATTTACAAATTATTTATAAGAATATGAAGGAGGGAGTCTCTTGGTTAGCACATAAAATTACAAATAAATAGAATTGGGAGTGGAGGGGTTAGGACGAATGACATCTTATGTATAATTCCTCTATTATATTTAAACACTTATACAAATTATTTATGTTGCCACCTTAATTTCCTTTTTAATTAACTATCTTTTTCAATTACCCAAAGTGGTGCTCATTTTAATTATATAAATCCATATTTTGTTTACTAAAGGAACGTTCAATGACATTTTATTTCATATTGCTATAAATTTTCTACCATATATTGAACTATTCTCCAATCTTGTAGTTTTTAATTTCGATAATATTGTTTAATTTTCTTGATAATATAAAAGATTATTATGGTGATCATGATTTATTTAATACATTATAAATATGATTTGTATAAAACCTCTCCCTAATTAGTTTGGTATCTTCAAGATCAAAACCCCAAATCTCAAGTAATTTATCTGATTTTCTCAATGTAGACTCTTAGCTAGCCCCAAAACTACAATAATCTCTTACTAATTAGCTTTGACCAAATAATTTACACCACTTTATCAAACAACATACAAAGGAGAAATACCTTTATAATCTGTTAGATTAATTTCATTCAAGCAAACAAATTTGATAGATTTGTTAGTGCTGACTTAGTGAAATCCAAGATCTTAATTAGCACATAAGTTACTGAAGTTTACATGGGAATATGGGATGGTATTCATTATGGTGATTTTCTAGAAAACATTTAACTTCAAACCTGTCTTCAATCAAAGTGTTTCATTAGTCCAATGAACTTAATTATTTTCAATAGCTTTTAAATCAATACGAAACGACTGCCCTTGTGCCTCTCAATTTCAACTCAGGGCATACAGCTTGCCTGGTAGTAAATACAAGAAGCCTTTGATGTGGAATAACCTATGCTTTTTATAAATTAGAATAGAAAATTATCTGATAAAGGCTATTGTTTCGTAGGTGTAAAAATTGAAAAAGACAGATTGCCATTTGGAGATTAAGATTAAGTAAACATAGCTTAACATACTATAATATTCATACTGATTTCTACCAAACAAATAGAAACCATCAAAATTACAACTTAAACCATCAAACCATAACAAAAGCAACTATTACTAAGCAAATATAACAACTAATTAAACCATCAAAATCCAGCAACTACATAACTTATACTTTCAAACAGATAAAAAAACTTCATTAAAAACGAGACACATTTTCTCAATCTTCCTCTTCTGAATCTCCCTCCTCCTCCTCTGCAACAACATGTTCTTCTTCCACCTCCACCGCGGCCTCTACCTGCACTTCTTCCTTGCCCTGTTGTACCTCTCCAACCATAGCAGCACCAACAGCAGCCCCAGAAGCAGCCCCAGCAGCAGCTGCTGCTTCTTGTTCAATTATTCTCCTTGTGTTTGCTATTCGAGCTTCCACTTGCTGCATCGTAATTCGCAAGATATATAAAATCCCCTCCAGTTCATCCCTACGTTGCTGTAAATTCCTAAGCCTATCACTCAAATCAGCCAACTCTTGGCTACGAGAATTGCCATCAAAGGAAGATGAAGAGGCGCCATTTTTTGCCATTATAAGAGAGAAGAAAATATTTAGAAAAAGAAATAAAAGGGAGAAGAAGCAGAAGAATCTTTCAGAAATGAAAAGACAAGAAAGAGATGTACTGTCTTTTATAGCCTAGGCACTAATTGGAAGAAGATGTAAAGACCTTAGCTTTATTAGAGAAATACGGAGTATACACTTTCCAAAGTTCATTTTATCAGAAAAAGTACTTATAACAATAATTCAATGTACATGCTATTTATAGAATGATCCTAAAATATTTCTTTTTTTCCCCCTTTTTAAAAAAAAAAAAATTTAAAAATTTCACTTTAATACTACATAAAAATAATCCTATATTTTTAATTAAGTTAAAGAAAATACAAAAAAAAAAGTATTGAAAAACTAAAATGTAACATCATTTTTACATCATTATCCTCGATTTATAAGATTAATTCAACTAATTAGTAAGGAATTGGTACTAAAAAAAAACAAAATAATGGAGAAATATTCCAAGCTTTTGCTTAACTTAGTTTGCTTATCTTTAATATGTATGTTGATAAAATTAAACTCTGAAACATAAGCTAATCCAAAGCCAAACCAATAGTAACAATTCTATAATCATATTAAGCAATAAAACGAATTATCAAAAGTAGAAATGAACACTATCTTTACCCAAAGAAGGGAATGTATAGTTTTTTCCATCTTTACTAAGCTATAACAACTATACTCTATTTCTTTGCAATAATTATTAGTTTCAAAACAGTAGATTTTTTCAATATTTTATTTTTATTAATTAATGAATCATAAACTAAGATATAAAACAATATTTTATGGAATTGTTAAAATTTATTATGCTCTACATGTCATGTGTCTTAATTTGATTCGATTAAAAACCTTACAATTAAGTACATGTATTAGGTTTTTCTCAAGTTGAAATCATATATATTTTATCTGTGTTATTATTTCTACGTAGTAATAGTGATAAAATAAATTATAATAGAGATAGGTTTTATTTTAATTGAAATCAAAATTTTGAGTCAAATACAATACAAATTTTACTAAGGAATCTCTATACTTGAGCTATAGGTGCTAGGCATTTGTGTTTCACTATCTCCATAAATTAACATATTTTACTAATCTTAGTCATTTAATTAGTGAATTAATATATAATGGTCCTATATCATACTGCATAATGCATGTGATGTAACAAAGTATGTTTCTATACATGTAATATATCCTACTATTACACGATTAACACCAAAAGATTAAATAAAGGATAATGCATCATACAAACAAGCTAAGTTGAAGAACAAATCTTTGTATTGCATTTACGACCTTGCATATTTATTTAGAAGTTTATCAAAGGTAAAAAAGAATACTTATGTACTAGAGAACAAATCTTTGTATTGAAAATTACTTATGTACTAGAGAATAACCATTTAATCAATGAAGTCAAGCATTTACCCAAAGAATAAAAAGATAAACAATCAACCATAAAAAAGTTTATCAAAGGTAAAAAAGAATACTGCCTTTCCCTAAAGGAAAAAAGAGAGATTAAATTTATAGCCTTTTCAATCTTTCAATATCAATTGATTACAACAATACTTAAGAAGCATGGCTTAAAGCCCAAACTATTAATAATACACAAAAATAGAAGCTGCAGCCATTCAAAGTAAGGAAAGAGTAGCTACCTCTCTTCCAAAGTGATTAAATAAACCCCAAAAATTCTATAAAGTAACTCACATGTTGCTGCTATAAGTACCATCACTTCACTACTAATCCCTCATATAACAATCTCTATTCTCATAGCAAATTACAAATACAAATATGGCAGATAATGGTAAGGGAAAGCTTCCTGTTGACCCAAAATCACACTCATCACGAAAGCTAACATTGAAATCAATGGAAAAAAGAATTGATGCACTTGCAAGACAAGTAGAAGAGCTAGAGCACAAATTGCAGCACCTTCAAGCAACCACTTCAACAGAGATTTCTATGCCAGAACAAAGGCAAATGCCACCAAAGAAGCGTCGTTTTATTCTCGGATCAGACTCAGACCAGGAGCAAACAGTAAGCTATTCCTACAACAATGACTTCCAACAACTCAGTTTTGACTCCAAGGGTACTAACCATAGCAGTGACCCAGACTACAATGCTGATGATGATAGTGCATCTTCCAATGAAGACACCTCCAATACATCATCTGGACAAGAACAAGACTACTCAGATAGCAGCAATGATTCAAACAGCAATGAGTCTTACTACTAGAAGATCATGCAGCCAAGACAACCCCCTAATAAGCTATAACAACTTATAAACTATTAAATGAAGTCAAGCAAAACTATAACTACTTATAATGTACTATCTAGCAGTAAGTTGTATTGTGTCAATATATGGCACTAGAGCTAATTTTAGTGTGTTGTCTACCATTAAGTAATATTGTGTGAATGAATGGCAGCTTTAGGAAATACGTGTATAGTGCTGCTCTTATTATATATAATTAAAATTAATTTTATATAATTTACTCTGTTTATAATTCTATAATTAACACTGTTAAGTTTATAATTTAAACATTGTAATATGGAGGCCTACATTTCAAAGTGTTCTGTGGTGTGAATGTCATGGAAACAACAATCAAATAACTAGCAAATCAGTGTTGTATCTTTTACTTAAATCCACACAAACCACAATCAATTAAGCATGTCTATCAAAGAGTTCTATGGTTAGATAATGTACTATAACTACAAATCACAAATTAGGATACTTTTTAGTGTAGATTGACCCTTCAACAGATAATTACCAGCTTCTTCTTTCAAAGCCAATCTGCTAGCTGTGCTTTGCAAGTCTCTTTCAATGATAATTACTTAGCTTGATATTCATATCACAGCCCAGCTTTAGCCAACCGATTGGATTCTGATTATCATGCTTCAATCCAAAACTGATATTTATGCAATCTGATGTGCATGAAATGGCAATTGACATGAGAAATAAGTTTAACATTGTGCCAAATATGCTACACATTGATGTCAAAAAACAAGAGTAAGCCTTTCATAAATCAAGCCTTGTTCTTTAAAGCCTTTTTTTTCCCATTTGAAATCAGATTAAAGGCCAATTGCATAAAAATAGATTTGCATTACATAAGTTTGAGAGATTTAACATTACAATAAATGCAGCCATTTACCTACTGTTAGCAAGCAGCCTAACCATTTAAAGCACCTTAACCTATCACCAAAACCAATAGGTCTTATCTGAGATCACATTGTCTTTGCCCTCTTCACTTTCAATCTTCTGAACATCCTCACTATGCTTAAGTGCCACCTGATCCTTAGCAGCATCAGAGATCATGGCTACACTATCATCAGGAACATCTTCATTATTCTTCTTAGTTTTTTTTCCCTTCATTACAGCTTTGCATTGCTTCAATTTCAATAGACACTTCAACCAACTCCTTTTCTATCTTCACAACTCTCTTTCCCACTTCAAAATGAATTGCTCTTGCATCTGCTAATTGGCCCTGTAAATTAGCCTCTCTAAGTTGAAGATGCTCCAGTTTGGACTGCATGTTACGTTTCTGAGACATAGAAAAATGGTTAGAATTTTTAGGATGAGATATGTAGCAATTATGGAGTAATATTTTTATAAATGGAGTATTTTAGAGAAATGAAAGGTTCAGAAGTGTTTACATAGGAAAAAAAATTATTTTTCTTTTAAAAAATCAAATAAAAGAAAACCTTTTAATTTCATTTTTATGTTTTTTTTAAAATTATTTTTTAAAAAACCACATAATTATATATTGAAACCTTTTAAAAGTAATAATACTAATTAATAAACATAATAGAAAAAGATAAATACTAAAACCATAATAGAAAAGGATAAATAATTTAACTATTATAATCTTAAGTCAACCTCCTAAAAGGAAAAGAAAACAAGCAAAGGACTTTCATGGTCAAATAACAACTAAACAAAGAAAGAACAAATTAGCATTAGCCAAATAGAAATGTAAAAAAATTAAGCAAGAAATCAAGTGGAGACTTTTGAAAACCCAAATTATTAAGCCACATTAGAATTTTGGGCCTTTATGGTAGCCCAAGCCATTTTTAAGCCAAAAAATAAAATAAAATTGGGCCTTTAATACATATATAGTACTCTTACACAATCATGTACAATACTCAAGTAAACCAACTTAGTTAGTACTCTTACACAATCATGTACAATCACTTATTTTAGTTTAATTTTACTAACGACATGTACATTCACTCATAAATCTATATTTATTCATAATTACACTAAAAAAAATACACATTAGCCTAAATTAATCATTGAGACATATTTCAACAAGTATTAAAGAGTTTTTATTTTTAGTAAATCTAATGTATAAATTAGTAATTTTAGTGAAAGTAAATCTGGATGAAAACTGCAAAAAGTAAAAACATTTTACTTTCAAAAAATACCAAGAGAGTATAGCGTTGATAAACTTACATGCCATCAAAGTTAACATTGGGGATATGTTGGATAAGGTGGCAATCTTGGCCATTCGGCTTCTCATATCTTTCTTTCAGATTTGGACAGCCACGTATGTCCAGTGTCTGTAAAGAGGTAAGGCCTAGCAATGATTGTGGAAGTGACGTCATTTCTTCACAACCCCAAATGTTGAGGTAACGTAGCAAGGAGAGATTTCCCAGTGATACTTTTTTCAAGCTTTGGCAGTCTCCAATATTAAGGTATCGAATGGAGTCTGAAGATTCTATCGTCAAACTTGCCAGTATTTTTGCAGCGGACTAAGCTTAAACTCTGTAGATTAGATAACCTGCTACTGATTGACAGAGAAGATGGTCCATCGTCTCTAATGAGGTTAAAAGAGTTGATGATGCATCCTCATCATCAATTGACGTCAGATTGGATTCAAATAACTTCCAATTGATCCCTTCAGTATATAAATTCTCTAGCTTTGGTGCTAGAGACATTGACATCAACTTGGGGCAATCATATATAGTCATATTTCGAAGACGAGGAAACAAGAAGTGCATTGGCTCACCACCATCACCGTTTGATGGTCTTGTCCACCCCTTTAGAGACCTCAATTTTTTTTAATTCCAACTCCAACTCTTTTAAGGATGGGAAGTAGACATTGTGGGCTCCGGAACCACACTTTCCACCTCCATCTGCATCTCCACCACAGACCCAGTCTTCATCTTCTACATACTCCAAGCCATCAATTTCTTCTAGAGTAAGATCTTCGAGATGACTCAACTGAGGGAGAACTTTGCACTCATCGCATTTCATAATACAAATGGAAAAAAGATTAGAAAGCCCATCCAACCATCTACGCGGCATCTCAACTCCTTTGTAGCTATCAACTCTGATACATATAACCATTGGAGGGCATGGAGGCAATGAATATGTACCATAGTTTTTCCCAACTATAATATAATCTAAATCTATCAAAGATGTCATTTTCCCAAGTCCTGATGGAAATTCGGTCAAACTTGTCTTATAAATTGCCAAGTGCCTCAGGTTGTCTAATTCACAAAAATCTCTTGGCAACTTTTTCAGACGAAAGCATGCTTTAAGGTTCAACGTTTGCAGGTTTTGTAATCTTGTTATGCCATCAGGAAGACATTTAATACGGCGATTCCACGCAAGATTAAGGTATCTTAGATGTCTCAACTTCCTTATAGAATTTGGCACCACATAGATATTCATGTTTTCTAAATCTAAGGCACGCAAAGACTGAAATTTCAAAACCATCATTTCAAGAGATGATACTTCTAAATAATTAAAAAAATGATTGGATTTGATTAGTAATGACCGTATCTTCGTAGCAGAAAGCAATGTTGCTGGAGCTTTGAATTCCAATCGACAGTATTCTGGCCTTATCATGTTAACACTCACGTGCATCAATTCATCAGTAGAAGAGACCTGGTATAAAGGCTCAACCAGTTGTTTAATCTCTTCACCAGCTATACCTTCAGCCAAGTCATGCACTAAATCGTGCATTTTGCAGTATTTGACGTTCCCTTCATCATCTTCTTCCGGATCTTGAAATAAATTCTTCCCTAACAATTCCATAAAGTATTGATCTCCAATGTCGTCTGTGCTTGATGGATCAAAATATCCTTTTCATAAATGTAGTCCTTTGGGAACAACGAACAGTATGCAAAACATTGCTTTAATGCCGGTGGCAAGTAGTCATAACTCAACTTCAACACTTGCATGATGTTATCGTCTTCCTTTCCCTTTGCCTTTGAGAGTCGAGCATTTCTAATTCGTCGCCAGCCTTCTTCCCTAGTTTCAGAGTAACAAAGGCTTCCAACAACCCTAATTGCAAGGGGAACCTTTCCGCAGCTGTCAACAATTTCCTTCCCCAACTGAGTGAGAGTATGATTGCTCTCTTCTTGCCCCAATTTAAATGCATATTTTTTGAAAAGACTCCAGGACTCTTTATCAGTTAGAAGTCCTAGATTGTAAGTTTCTGTTGAACCAACTGCATTTGCAACTTTAGCAGAGCGTGTTGTTGCAATAACTTTACTGCCATCTGCACCACACTCGAGCAACCTTAGCAGATCCAACCAATTATTCCGTTCATCATCCCATATGTCGTCTAAGACAAGAAGAAATTTCTTATCTTTTAACGATGCTTGGTTGCTCGATTCAATTTGATCTACTGAGAGTTCTCTGGTATCCTTAAAACCCAAGGACTGGCAAACTGTTCTCAGAACTTGGTTCTGATTATTAACCTCAGGTACACATGCCCAAGCAGCAAGATCAAAATGTTTCCGAACATTCTCATCATTATAAACGAGTTGAGCAAGAGTAGTTTTACCAAGACCCCCAAACCCCACGATTGAGATTACAGAAACCCTTTTCCCATCATCATCAAAAAGCATTTCAGTAATAATCTTTTTGTCATTTTCTCTACCAATAACATCATCTTCTCTCACATGAGATCCTCTTTCCCTATTCCTTACATAGCGAGCCCTTAGTGGTTGTGGTTCATCGCCATGATAAACGTTCAATTTTAAGTTAGCAATGCCAATATCTGAATTGATTTTATCAAGCTGCTGTCTAATAGACTTGATTTGTCGAGATATTTTCCAATCAAAACGAAGATTTTTGCCAGACCTCGAGAAAGAAACACAAACCTGCTTGTTGACATCTATCCGCTGTTTCTGGCGGTCGACAGTGAGAACATCATCAAACATATCATCAGCTTGGTAAAGCACAACCCTCAGCCTCCGAAGCCACTCTTTGAAGGTGTCACTGCGCTCCTCTTCTTGGTGCCTCTCCGCATCGCGAACTCGAGCTCTGATCACCTTTAAGGTGTCCTCTAGCTTTTCCAAATCGTCTCGTGCACCCCAGCATGATGCAGCCTCTTTTACAGCTGATTTTCCCAGATTTGTCAAGGCGTTTACCAATAAGCCGGAAATCACTCCCTCTGCCATTTTTTCTACTCCTTTCTTTTTCTTTTTTTTTTTTTTTTTTTTTTTTTTGTTTGTTAAAATCTCTCCATTTTTTCAACGATATATTATAAGCCCAATTCCGATGAATATTGAGGAAGTTATGGCCAATTTACTGAACTGGGCCCGTTTTGAGCCCTATATGCGGCCCAATGATCTAGGGGAGGGCCTAATATGATTTATCATTCCTAATGCAATTAGAATGGTTTTAGTCTTTTAGAATCTTCTAGAAGGTTCTTTTCATTCCTAATTCAATTAGCATTGATAAATTGACTTTTGTTGACTTTTCAGAGTTTTAATTAAAATCAAAGAACATTTTTGAGGAAAAGATACGATTTTATCCTCCTGTACGACAAAATTTATCCGATTTTAGAAAACGCGTCAAAAACAGGATTAGCGCCTAATGCCAGGTATTGGCGCCTGGCGCTAATGTTGGCGCCTGGCGCCAATCAGCCAGCGTTGGCGCCAGCTCTGTTTCAGGTGCGCCAATGCTCTGTTTTGTTTATTTTATCTTTTTGGCTGATTTTCTTTATAAATAACGTCGTAAAAACTCCGTTTTCATTCATCAACAATCAGTTTTCAATTATATTCACCTACAACCAGTTCACAATCATCAATTCTCTCATTCTCTTTAACCAATTCTCACCAACTCTCATCAAGATTTTCTTGATTATTTTCTCTCTCTCTTTCTAGCCTAGCCTTTTACAAACACAAATCCTCATACATTAGCACTAGACACACCTAGACAAATTCGAAGTTGCCTTTGCCCTAGACGTGAAAGGTTTTAATTTCTGAGGGTTTGGTCCCAAATCTCTTTTTCAATTATTTAATTTAATTGTTTTGTTTATTATTTTCCTTGAAGTTACTAACACGTGTATTTTTTTATTAGAAAGAGGTACGAGGCATCCAAGTAAGTGCTTTAATGGTTTAATTGATATAATGATATAGAAATCATGCTTAGATTGTTATTTTGATTCCTAGTATCATGTTAGGATGTTTTCCTTAATTTGATGTTTAGGGTGACAACAATAAATTCCTAGTATCATGTCTAAGGTAACTTTAATATTAAGTATGATTAAAAGTATGATGCCTTTTATGTTCTTCCTAATATTTATGATTGTTATTATCATGTTAGGGTTAAAGCTTTGATTTTTATATGCTTAGTGACATGCTAGGGTTTGTTATTAATCTTGTTAGTATCATGCCTAGGATCTTGCTATTATTATTATGCTTTAACATGATTATGTTAATTATGATTATAATTGTTATAATTTATGATCATGATTATTTTAATTATTATTATGGTTATAATTATTATGAAGATGATTATGAATATTATGTTGTTTTATATATTTTGTTATTGCTTGATCACGCCTTTTATGCATGTTTAAAGGGAATTGGTACTTGTAATCATGCTTAATAAGATAATTAATAATCTTGTTTAGGGTTAATTTGATTATAATACAAGTGATCGCCAATAATAGATTTATTTGTGCATTATATTCAACTAACATAGATAAACAGGTTTAGGGTAATCTTATTGATTGTATGTTAGTCAAAAAGCGCACATGAATACGATCAGAATAAAGTAGAGGCCTATTATTAGGGCAGGTTCAATCTCTTTTAGGTTGGATTTGTACCTTCATCCCCGAACCCTTATTTGGTTCTAGACCTTATGGAGTTGACGATCTCTTGGATCGTTAAGGGGTGTAACCTTTCACCTCGTGAACGGTTTACAAGTTCCTAAAAAACTTGTTGGCGACTCTTTTGCTCTATCTTCATTCCCTTTGGACGCCACCGTACTTAAGTGTATGATCACAGTGGGGTTCAAGCTAGGGGATTAACGCTTGAAATTTATTCCCCACAATAATTGTTGTGTATATTTCCTTCAGATTATGCGAGGATTTATAGTACCCTTGCATGAACAGTGTTTACTCGATATGTTAAACACGCAGTGAAATGTCTAATCGAGCATGAGGTTCTGAGCGGTGATATTTAATTTGCATGGGAAGCTAAACGGTGATGTTTTGCGGTATTCTTAATCCGTTCATATTACACAATACAGTGCGTATTACAACACTCCCCCTTGAACGGATTTCTATAGGGCGACTCCTAATTTACATGTATGTAAATATAAATATTACCACTATTGTACCTACATGTTTATCTGCCTCATTAAAACCTTGCCAAGAAAAACCCTGTGGGATAAAAACTTGGACGAAGGAAAAAGAGTACAACACATATAGGGTTCCCCTTAAGTTAGCACATATCACAAAGACGACGCATGTTGGTCATATGCACGAGTTCTTGAATTTGCTAGGTGGTAATGCCTTCGTGAATAGATCGGCTAAGTTGTTGCATGACTGAATCTGCTTGAAATCGATCTTACCTTCTTTTTCCAAGTCATGAGTAGAAAAGAACTTGGGGTCGATATGATGTGTTTTGTTCTATCACCTTTGATGTAGCCTCCTTTAACTTGTAAGATGCAAGCAGTGTTGTCTTCAAATATTGTAGTTGGGTCTTCTTCGACAGTTTTAATGCCGCTTTCTTTTAGTATATGTTGGGTCACAGATCGCAACCATATACATTCCCTACCAGCTTCATAAAGGGCAATCAATTCAGCTTGGTTTGATGAAGTTGATGTTAGTGTATGCTTGGTTGACTTCCAAGAGATTGCTGTATTGCCATAGCTGAAAAGATAACCAGTTTGTGATTTTGATTTTACTGGATCTGATAGGTAACCTGCATCAGCATATCCCACGAGAGTAGGATTTCCATTTCTTGGATAGAAGAGCCCTAAATCAATTGTTCCACGTATATAGAGAAGAAGGTGCTTCACTCCATTCCAGTGTCTGCTTGTAGGTTCAGAGCTATACCTTGCTAATAAGTTTACCGAAAATTCAATGTCTGGCCTAGTGTTGATGGCCAGGTACATCAAAGCTCCTATTTCATTTAGGTATGGTATCTCTGGACCAAGTACAACTTCACCTTCTTGTCGGGGTCTAAATGGATCATCTTTGATTTTTAAAGCACGAACAATCATAGGTGAATTCAATGGGTGTGCTTTGTCCATATAGAATCTTTTTAATAATTCTCGGCATAATTGGATTGATGAATTAAGATACCATCTTTCAGATGTTCAATTTGTAACCCGAGACAAAATTTTGTTCTTCCAAGGTCTTTCATTTCAAATTCTTTCATCATACATTTAACAGTTTCTTCGATTTCCTTATGTGTTCCGATGATGTTTAAATCATCAACATACACCGCTATTATGACAAAACCATTTTCGGACCTTTTGATGAATACACATGGACAAATTTGGTCGCTCTTATACCCTCCTTTGAGTAGGTACTCACTTAAACGGTTAAACCACATCCTCCCAGATTGCTTTAAACCGTAGAGCGATTTTTTCAATTTTATGGAATGTAGTTTTCGAGGTTGTGACCTCAAAGATTCAGGTAGTTCAAGTCCTTTGGGGACTCTCATATAGATGTCGGTATCAAGTGACCCATAAAGGTATGTAGTCACAACATCCATCAAAGGCATTTGTAGTCCTTTGCATGCTGATACACTTATGAGGAATCTTAGTGTCATGGAATCTACCACAGCTGAATATGTTTCCTCATAGTCGATTCCCGGTCTGTGAGAGAAACCTTGGGCTACAAGTCTAGCCTTGTATCTTACAATTTCGTCCTTTTCATTTCTTTTTTGTATGAACACCCATCTATACCCGACGGGTTTCACTCCTTTTGGAGTCTGGACTGCAGGACTAAAAACTTTGCGTTTTGCGAGAGATTTTAATTCAACTTGAATGGCTTCTTTCCATTTTGGCCAATCACTCCTTCGTCGACATTCATCTACAGATGATGGCTCGGTGTCCTCAACATCAGTGATGATTTCTGTGGCAATTGAGTATGCGAACACATCATTGACATAGGTTTTTACTCTATCCCACTGTTTTCTAGTGTGGATGTAATTTATTGAAATTTCATGATTGTCGACGATTTTGTTTTCACGCTCCCCCTCAGATGTACTATCCGACTCTTTAGATTCATCTTGGGGGTTGATGATATTTTTTATCAATTTGGATTTGATCTACTTTATTTGAGGAGTTTTCACTCTTTTTATTCCTCATTTCCACTCTTTTAGATTTTTTCGCTTTAGATCTTTAGCTCCGAGGGGTCTGCCACGTCTTTTGCATGCTTCAATTTTATCTGAAAGTGGATTATCCATTATCTTTGCTAGGATTTCAACCCTAGCAGGCGCCTAGCAGGGGCATTCACTGAAGGTATATGTGAATTTGTCGTCACTCCTTTTGTATCAGTGAATGCGTCTGGCAATTGGTTTACGATGTTTTTGCAAATGTATTATTTTTTGCACTTCTTGTTCGTACGCATTTGTACTTGGATCAAGGTATGATAGATTTTGGGCATTCCATGATATTTCTTTCTAGCATGGGCCCTCTTTATCTCCCCCTAAGGTTGGGAAGAATGTCTCATTAAAGTGACAATCTGCGAACCGAGCTGTGAAAAGATCACCAGTCAATTGTTCGAGATATCTTGTAATGGAAGGTTATTCATAGCTAACATAGATTCCCAACCTTCTCTGTGGGCCCATTTTAGTATGTTGGGGCGGTGCTATGGGAACATAGACTGCACATCCGAATGTTTTTAGATGTGCCAAGCTAGGTTCCTTTCCAACTACTAGTTGCATTGGAGATAACTTATGTGTCACGCTCGGTCTTAGTCGTAGTAGAGCAGCGACATGTATTATTGCATGTCCCCATGCAGAATATGGGAGTCTTGATTTCATGAGTAATGGCCTAGCGACTAATTGTAATCGCTTTATTAATGATTCTGCAAGGCCATTTTGTGTATGAACATGGGCTACTGGGTGTTCCACGTCTATCCCAATTGACATACAATAGTCACTAAATGTTCGGGATGTAAATTCTCCGGCATTATCTATCCTAATCCTTTTGA